ACCGTGGGTGGTCCTGGAGGCGCAGGGAGCCGCGGGGCTCTCCTGGCGGCGAGGAGGCGAAACTCCGGCGAGGTGTGGCGCTCGCCGGTGCGGGGTCGGGCGGCGGAGCAGGCGCGCCAGTGACGAAGAGGGTGGCGGCGGAGATCGGGCGCAGGACGCAGGCGTCGGTCGGCGAAGACTCGGGCCGGGGAGGGCTCTCCCTGGGCCTCACGGGCCGCGGCGGTGGGGAGGCCGGCCAAGACACGTGGCGGCCTCTCAGTGGTTGCGGTCGGCGGCGGAAAAAGTGTCTGGTACCGGCGGACGTGTCCGGCGGCGGCGCGAGCGGAAATTTAGGGTTAGGGAGAGAAGAGACCCGGGATTTTCGAGGGGAGACCTATTTATAGAGGTAGAGGGAGCTAGGAAGCTCCAAATGAGGTGCGGTTTGCGGCCACGCGATCATGATCGAACGCTCTAGATAATGGGAGAGGTTTAGGTGGGTTTTGGGCCACTTTGGAGGGGTGTTGGGGTGTAACACACACGAGGCTTTTTCGGTCCCTCGGTTAACCGTTGGAGTATCAAACGAAGTCCAAATGGTACGAAACTTGACAGGCGGCCTACTGGTAGTAAAACAAGGCCGCATGACAAGTCTCGGTCCAATCCAAAAACATTTAACCCCCACACACGAAAGGAGGTAGAAAGGACCACCGGAGGACATAGGAGCGCCGGAATGCAAAACGGACAATGGGGAAAATGCTCGGATGCATGAGACGAACACGTATGCAAATGCAATGCACATGATGATATGATATGAGATGCATGACAAAGAACAAAACACACAGAGACAAAAATCCAACAACGAGGAAATAATATAACTTAGTGCCGGAAACGGCAAGAGTTGGAATACAAATAAGGTAAATTACATCCGGAGTGTTACACACTGCCCAACAAATAAATACGGAGCACATCTCATATAAGATAACTGAATCATTCGGATTGTTGTCTATTTGTTTTGTTCAAAATCCGAGTAAATTTTAAGGTTGTCTTTTAGATAAGAAAAAACTTTCATTGGACAATGAACGACACTGTGGCAGTGTGGTCCAGATTCAGTGTTGTAATTTGGTGGTCTGCATTGGTGAATCACTATGCATGATTTCCTGAATCAACTGCTATCTAATTAAGACTCTGCTCAAGAAAAAAATTACTCTATCAATGGTTGTCTTATACACTCTGAATTGCTAATTTCAGTAACAATGCAAGCGCAGCAGGAGTCACCACCGGATAAGCAATTGAAGGACAAATTTCAGTGTTGAGTGCCATAATGAATCAGGACATCGCACCAAACGATATCAACCCATGTTATGTAGAGAACCACCAATGGAGTCGGCAGTTTGGAAACCACAATTCACTATCTAACAACTGTACCAACCTTGGAACAGCACATATACTTAAATAAGACCATTTTTTATAAGATTTGTTGTCAATTGGGGTTCTTAGGGAGGGGGATTACCAGTTTTGGGCGAGATGCAGCAGGTGCCCGTGGTGGAGGGAGAGGCCGCCGCCTAAGGCGGAGAAGGAGGGGGCGAGCGGCACGTCCTGTCCTCCATTGTGGCGCACGAGGCGGCGGGGCAGGGGACTCCGGCGGCGGACCTTGGAGCCGGCGACTGGCAGAGAAAGGAAAGGGATGCCGCCGACTCGGCTGCGTGGGCCTCCACCTCCGCTGGTCTCGTCTCGTGAAGGAGGAGTCGGGGTCGCATGTAGGGGTTGTTTGGTTTGTGACTAACTTAGTCAAAGATTGTCACAATTAAGGTTAGGCAAGTTTGACCAACTTAGGTGAGCGTTTGGTTGAAGCCACACCTTAGGCAAGCCATATTTGGGCCCACGTGGCATACACACAAAAAGTGTGGCAAGATTCCCTTAGGCTTCCAACTTGTGGTTCTCATTTTGATGAACTAACCTTAGACAAGCTTGGCAAAAATATGTAGTAAAGTGTGGCAATGCTAGTCTTAGAACCAAACAGCCCCGTAGTTTGGAGTCGAGCTTTCGTTTCGGAGCCGAGAGAAGCCACGAACAGAGCGGAGGAGCAGCTATCGTCAGATGAGGAGGTGGGACACGTGGGAGCATCTGGGAGAGGGTATGCACGAGATGGAGTTTGCAACCGGTATGCACAGATTTTTTTTTCCATGATAGTGCGTACCTATGAGCGATTGACTTTTTACCTTTGTTAATGTATAATGTGCTGTATAGTCTCTTACATCAGATTGGTCTTTTTATTGCATTGGTTAAAGCATGCACTTCTACAACCTTGCTTGCCGGCGCTGGTCACTAAATTGTTCAACACTTGAAACAACACGCTGCATGCGCGCGAGACTTTGCTTGTTGACGGCAACAATCAATCGACCCAGGGCAAACATACTGCTAATCCGAGCACTGATCATGTGTCCCAACTCTCTTGGTAGCTTTGCTGACGGCAAGATTGCAAGAAGCAAAGCACACGTACAGGTGTCTCAGCAGGTGCGGTGCTCCATCAGAAAGGGACGAGGATCCTCTGCCGTTCGGCAGGGTGCCGTTCGACCACTGACTGATGGACCCATCGGGGAACAGGCCCACATGGCAGCGCCACAACGGCAGGAGCCGCACGTCAGGGGAGCCGCTTCCATCAGAAAGGCACCGCGGAGAGCGCCACGCGGAGCAGAAGCAACAGAGGCACGGCTGGCTTATGCGGCCGAGATAGGCCCATGCGGACGGCGGCGTTGGGATTTCCACGGCGGGTGGCGCCTACGCAAAATAATCGCGATCCGGCCGCAAGGAAAGGCTGTCAGGTGGGTCACCCCCACGACGAGCTCTCTTACAAACGGGTCGTACAGGATTCGCCTCCTGCCAGGCGGCGAAACGATGGGCGCATGGCAGGTGCCGCCGCGCGCCAACTGTTTTCGTCGTCGCCCGGTCTGAATCCCATGCCTCATGCATGCTTGCACACCTGCCCATCGATCACACGTCCCAAAAGGCTCCTGCCTCTCCCTCCCGCGCCGGTCATCGCCGTTGCGGATTGGTACTGCCAGTTGACTTGACGCTGGCGGCCATCGCATCGACCAACCAAGCCGGCCAGGCCGCGCCGTACCGTCTTGATAGGCACAATGGTACGTTGCCGCGTCAGGCCAGCACGCGCTCATCTTCTGTCTGTATGTGCCTCGTCTGATGCATGCTGCTCATCGCGTGGCGGCTAAATTTCGTGTTTTGATCCTTTTCTGAAACCTATTCAAAATTTGACCTTAGTTTAATTTTTTTTTAAGATTTGACTTTTTTGCTACCGTCAGAGACCATAACGATAGGGTATAACAGCCTACCGTCAAGGTCCCTGGCGATAGGGTTGCATGCCCTATCGTCAAAAACCTCTTAAGTATTGAACACAGTGTGTGCTCGTGCCTACCGCCAAGCACCTTGGCGGTAGGGTTGTGCAGGCTATCGCCAGCCCGGTTAGCGTAGCGATACCGCCATGAACTCTAACGGTAGCAACAGGATCAGATCTCAAAAAAAATTAAACTAGAGTCAAATTTCAAATAGGTTTCAAAAAAGGGTCAAAGCACGAAAATTTGCCTCGCGTGGCCATGGATTACATACAATTCTTGACATGTTTTGCAGTCTTTGCTGCCGCTGTTCCTGAGGCCGGCGGCGCGGTTCCTAGGGCCGTTCCTGGCGGGCCGGTCGGCGGAGGTGGCGGCCACGGTGCTGCACCGCGCAGGCGTGCTCCCGAGGAACCGGGTGCTGCGGCGGCTCGTCAGGGACGACGGCGGCGCTGAGGACTGCATCGCGCGTCTCGTCGTCAGCGTGGTGAGCTGCCTCTGCTAGACCACCAGCCCGGCGGTGCTCCGCTCTCCACCCCCGGTTCGTAGGTTCTCAGTGTGCGTGCGCGCCGTCTAGCTGATCAAAGTACTGTAGGTCTGATGTGGGTAGAACTGAAGTGAAATTCGGTTTTTTGGACGAACAGGAAACCAAGATTTCAGAACTATCAGTGGTGGCCAAAATGTTCACATGATCGAAAATTTGAAACCATGATACAAACTCATCATAATCTGGAGAAACCAGAAAGAAGAGAATCTGTGTGGCTCAACCAACAAAATTTCACATAAACAAATAAAAATACGATCCGCCCTTACTTTAGGACTATCCACGGGGCTCAATATTGATGCGGTTGATTTACTCCCAAGATTTTGATGGGCCAAGAACACACACTCAACTTGATATACTCTCAAGATTTTGATGCGGTTTATTGCTCCCTCTGGTGTGGTAAAAATGAAAAGGAGAGTTGCTTTTTACCTTGCTAATCTTGGAGTACGACGGAGCGGAGCATGGAGCTCGTTGAGGGTGGCGGCGACAGCGTTCGGCCATGCCCTCCGCCCGCTTCTTCCTTGACACGGAACACGCTCCTTCTCGACATCACTAAAAAAGCTAACTTTGGCTCGACGACGATGTGAGCGAGAAGGATAGGTGACACGGGAGAGAGAGAGAGAGAGAGAGAGAGAGAGAGAGAGAAGACGACAAGAGGAGAAGAGCGGGGCCGACACGGTCAAGAGGGAGGCGCATCGTCGCCTTGTAGGAGAGCTAGGGATTTGGAGAGTTGGTGAGCGAGTGCGGTGAAAGGGAGCGGAATGGGTGAGTGGGCGAGTGGGTGGGTGCAATGGCCAAATGGGAAACAGCCGGATTTTATTGACGTGACAAGATTTGAACTACTTTTTCTGAAATGTCTATGTTTACAAAAAGAGTAATATATAGCCGATTAATCATAGTTTGTTTGCAAAATGACTCTCGTACGTCGAACCATTTGTATCAGCACGCTCGCTTTTGCATTACTTTCATTCATAAACAGAGATAGAGTGGTCAATTGAAAAGACTAAAAATCAAAAAGCAAGCCGTAAAATATTATTGAAACAGAATGGCGATCATAATACACGCATTACAACTAGGAGGAAAGTCTAGCATCCAAGCATCAACAACGACACAACATAAATATTTGGAAAAATAACTTAGATGGGCATATTAATCTTGTGCTCGATGACTATGTCTTCACCATCGTCATTGTTTTCTTCAGCTTTTTCTTCTTTGATTTCAAGATACTCCGACTTCTGAAACCTATCAGGCAATGTCTCCATCCCCATGGATATTAAGAGGAACCATACACGAGTGAGAAGCTCTGTAACTTCACTCATGTTCTTGGCGTGCAAGTATGCTCTGCACCTGCTGGCAGAGTAGCACAACATCTCCACCCATACCCCCTGGACCATCTCCCACCTCTCCACTTCATCTTCTAGCTCCATCAACATTTTAGCAAGCCTGCATGCTGTTCCTGTTATGCTGGTGTTATCAACCAAGGGAGGTTGTTGCGCCCTGCAAATAATTCCTTGCGCAAGTCCTTTTTCGTCGTGCAGTGCAGAATTGTCACCTAGCATGCGCTCGATATCTTCACATGCAATGGTGAAGATGCCGATCCTGGACCCGGGTATAAGCATTTCTGAACAAATGGAGAGCAGGTACGCCATGTAGTTGGATATAACCCTGCTTCGAGCGGCGCACTCTTGGCCGCGAGGGGTTGTGCTCTGGTGGTGAAAGCAGATGTCTGTGGCGATGTGCCAGAGAAGGACACTTCTATCAAATGACATATTCAAGCTCCAGCCAAGATGACGTTGACGCCTTAGAGCCCACTGCCCCCTGTGGAGGTTGAATCTCTTGTAGCTAGCAGCATCTTTGATGTACCTTCTCCAACCATCCATAACATATCCATGAACCAACTCCACAACTTGGAGTGAGGATGTTGCTGGTGCATGTTCTATATAACAATGCATGTTAACATAGCCTTTGCAGCATGCAAGTGTGGCAAGCTTCATAAGAAGAGTGGGTCGCTTCTTACGAGCATAGAACGACAAGAGGTTATGTTGCGAAACCATATCTGTTTCTGTCTCCATGATGGAAACGCTGACAAAGAGGAATAGAAAATCCAGCAACGCGGTCGACCAGAACAAGATGTGAGTTACCTTGACATCTGTTGCGTTGTAGTCATAATATTTGTGGTATGTGGAGAAGAGGATGACAGAAGCTAAGATCAAGAATGGAAGCCAAAAATGACAGCAGAAGAAGCAACAGACTATGTTAGCTAGTTTTGTGTAGAGGAACGAAAACAACTTGGTAAGCTGTTCTCTCGACATACTATTGGCATGTTGGTAATCAAGGGCCATAAAGAGCTGTAGGTTTTTTATCCGGTCAGAGTATAGAGCTGATATGTCTACCAGCGGCCGGTACACATTTACCTCCCATGAATCACGTAATGCCATGCCTTCAGCTTTGCCTTGATCACTGGCCAACTCTGGCAAACTGGTTGCTTTTTGTACAAATTCTTCAAGCGAGATGTCCTTCTGTTCGGCTCTTTCTCCTTCTTTAGTTATGTATAACTTCCGCGGGCCCATTGAGCAATAGCATATTGTTCCGCAGAACAACGCGAGTTCGTTCTGCTCACTCCGGGATAGTGACAAAGAAGCCACTATGTTACTGATACTGGCGTTCTTCATAGCTAATGGCTTCTGGATGGATCTAAAAATCCCGACGACGAACAACAAGATTGCGGCCTGCAGCAACCTCTTTGGCCCGCCAGGCCATGACTTGCAAAAGACGTAGAGGGCGACCACGACCTGTGACCATAGTTTTAGAAATATTTCAGCAAAAATGCTAGACTTACGGATGGTTTCCACGGCTTTTGCCTACAG